GGGAACGACTGGACGCGGCTGGCCCGTGGAGACGTCACACAGGAGAGTTACGCCCGAGGTGCCGAAAACCACGTCCTCCAGGCGCAGCCCCACGGCAGCCCCCTTCAGGGCCTGGACGCTGGGGTCTGTGACCTGGTCCGCTGCTATGCGGGTATAGTCGAGGCCCAACTGGACGGCCCCGATGACGACCCTGGACAGGCAATCTACGACCAGGTTTGAGTTGCCAGCCACGTGCTGGATGTCCGTGGTGAACTCCGAGATGTAGGAAAGCTGTCGTTGTTGGCGAGCAGACCAAGGCTCCGCCACCTTGGACATGGTGAACGTGAGCGGCTTGTGGTCAACGAACGCCGTAAATTCAAGGCCTTCCAGCAAAAATTGGAAATGCCGCACGGCCAGCCAGAGTCCAAGGAGCTCCCGGTCAAAAGCGCTGTACCTGCGTTCCCTGGGCGTCAGCTGGCAGCTGAAAAAGGCGAGTGGTTGCCAGGCGCCCTCCACCCATTGCTCATGCACCGCACCGACGGCGTAGTCCGATGCGTCTGTGGTAATGGAGTAGGGCCGTGGGTAACGGATGCGCCAACATATTGAGCCAGCGCAGTCTTGACCTCCTTAAAGGCAACCTCAGCCTCCGCCGTCCAGTCGATCTCCTGGATGGGGGCCTTACCTTTCAATGCCTCATACAGCGGCCGCATAATATGGGCGGCCCGGGCGATGAAACGGTGGTAGAAGGTGACCATCCCTAGGAACTCACGGAGCGACCGGGCCGTGTGCGGGCGAGGAAACGCTGCGACAGCCTCAACCTTCGCTGGCAGGGGTGCTGCCCCGCCCTTGGTGATGCGGTGCCCAAGGAAGTCAATGTCAGACAGCCCGAACAGACACTTTGCAGGGTTGATTATCAACCCTTGTTGGCTGAGCCTCGTGAAAAGGGCCCGGAGGTGGGACAGGTGTCCTCCTCAGAAGTGCTGGTGACGAGTATGTCGCCCAGGTAGACGAACACAGACGGTAAGTCCCGCAGCACCGAATCCATCAGGCGCTGGAATGTTTCAGCTGCGTTCTTGAGCCCAAAAGGCATCTGCATTAACTCAAACAACCCAAATGGCGTTATCACCGCCGTTTTGGGAATGTCCAGGGGATGCATGGGCACCTGGTGGTATCCACCCAGGTCCACCTTAAAGAACACAAGCCTACCTGCCAGGTGCGCCGAAAAGTCCTGAATGAGCGGCACCGGGTAGCGGTTGGGTGTCGTGGTGTTGTTGAGGCGGCGGTAGTCCCCACACGGGCGCCAACCACCATTAGGCTTGAGGACGATGTGCAGAGGAGACACCCAACGACTGTCACACCGGCGGATGATACCCAGGCGTTCCATGGTTGAGAACTCCGCCTTCGCTGCTGCGAGTTTGGAAGGGTTCAACAGCCGGGCCCTTGTGTAGACTGGGGGTCCCTCAGTGGTGACGTGGTGCTCCACCCCATGCTTGGTGGTGGGTGCAGAGAAGGTGGAAGGCGTCAGGTCCGGGAACTCGGCCAACAACCCGAGGTACTTGTCCGCACCTGACAGTGAGCCCGACAGCCCGTTGTACGCCGCTTTGCCAAGCGTACACACAAGGGAGGAAAACGTCATTGCATCAACCGTTCGGTTTTTTAACGTCCACCAGGAGCCCGTGAGCACATAAAAAATCTGCCCAGAGGAGGGGAAAATAAATGTCTGCTGTGACGAAGTCCCAGTTGAACCGCTGCCCCCCAACGCATAAACACATAGGCCTCACGCCATAAGTGCGGATGGGGCTGCCATTAGCCGTCGTCAACTGCGGTCCGTGCCCCCCCCCCGAGCGACGTCCTCCCTCGACGCAGGAACCACGCTCCATTGAGCGCCCGTGTCACAGAGAAACCAGCTACCCGAGACACTGTCGCTAACGAAGAGAAGCCTGCTCGTGTCATCAACGCTCAGGGCCACTACCGAGCGCTGGCCCTCTCGTTTCCCGGAGGCTTGTAGCTGCAGGGAGCGATGCACTTCTTCGCCTTGGCCCCGAACCGCGCGTGGTAAAAACACTCCCCCGTGTCCCCACGCCGGCCTGGAGCTGCCGCGGTCTGCTCCCCCCCAAGCCCTCCTAACTGGCGAGGGGGCACTGAGCGTTGCAGCCAGCACATCTGCACCGGGCTGCTGGGTCGCCAGGAAGAAACGATCAGTCTCCTCAGCCAGGGCGTGGGGTTCAGTAATGGTCGTGTTGGCCAACGCCGTCTGAACCCAGGGCGGCAAGTGGCGCAGGAACGTCTTACTGTCCCCAAGACCCTGAATCTCAAAATCAAAATCTGGCGAGCCCTCTCCTTAACAGATAAGCTAAATGTCTTAAGGAGAAGGGCTTTAATCGCCTCATATTTGCCCTGGCGTGGGGGATCTGCGATAAATCCGACCAACCTGGACGATGTGGAGCTCCCCAGCGCCGCCACCACGTGAAAATACTTCAGGTCCTCGTCACGGACCTGGCGGCAGGCAAAGTGTGCCTCCACGTGTGCGAACCACGCCGTAGCAGCATGCTCCCAAAACTCCGGCAGTTTAATATAAACATCGCAATCAGCCATGTTCACTAAGTCTTCGGAAACTATCTCGAAAACGTCTGGGTCACCAGTGTAGAGCCGATGAATGGGAGTCGGAGGCGGCGTGTTGAGTATGGAACTCCACACTTTATTTTCCATTAGGTTTACAGAAGGGAAGAATAACTTGCATACATGCTACTCAAGCTAGAATGATAACAACCACCAGGTACACTCTCTAACGGGTCCGTGGTGCAACACACACCATATACCACAGTGAATTATTTCCCGTAATGTTCAACCACAAGGTAATCTTATATTATTGAATGCATGCACACACAATTAAGGAGTGTTTAGATTTATTTATGTTTTGAATAACAAGTATGAACATCTGGGCAGTTTTGTCTTTCCAGATAACAACATATGTCTGGCTGAAGTTCAAGTTTCTGGACTTGGTTGCTGAACATGCAAAAGGCGTGGAATGTGAGAGTAGAGTTCACACGGTCAAATTGCTGTGGGTCAGAAGGTCAGGGAAATTTGGAGGAGCTAAAGCTGAGCTGAAGGAATGGAACTTGGCCTCTTCGCTTGGCAGTGAGAGATTCCTTCTGGCTGTCTGTCAAAAAGTCAGAGCAGCACAGCTCCAAGTTATATCACCCTCTTGTTGGTGAGTTACATGCAAGGAGCGCTGCAATGGAAACAAGATTATTATTTGACAAAATCCCCCTCTGTGACTAGTCCAAACTTCAAATATTGACTTTACTTTTGGTAGCATTTAGTGTATTCATTTTTTTTTAAATAAAATATCTCCCTTTAATGTCTAAATGTTTTTATTTTTTATTTTCCATACCTGCACATGAATTTTAAATTAGTTTACGTAATTAGTTGACAATAACCTTGTTTTGCTCAGAATCTCTCACGTTATGTTTCACTGCCATGCTTGTCAGTATTTGACTTCATGTATATTATGTCACTTGACTAATGAGGTGTTAATCCAGCTTGAAAAAATACATGCATTAAAGGTCAACACCAATTATGAAAGTTGAACAAACATTAGACACAAGCAGAGTCAAACGCAAGCCATTCAATCAAAATAAAGGAACACAATATGAATACATCAGCAATACTTAAGTGTTACAATTACTGATTTCAACCAATTGACACCGCAGAGTCAAAAACACTGCTGCATGTGGAACGCAGTAAGATTAGTGTTGTTTGTTTTCATTGTTTGCTCACTTTGTCATTGTTATGCTATTCATGTCAATTATCTTTGTAAGTATAACATAATATAGCTGTTTGGTATTGCAGGATGGATATTTTAATGTATCATACATAAGTGCAGACACTATGAACGTTGAAATATGTGATTCAAAACATAGTATTTATGTAATTTAAATACTATTAAATTAACTGCTGACATACTGGTTTCAACCAAATGTATTCTAGATGATACAGTACACTGTTATGTAAATGATGGTAATTTTCAGTTTTGGCCAAGTTTTTGTATTATCTCTCTCTGGTCTATTAGCAGTCTGGCTGTGTATCGGGAGGGCAGTACCGTGTCAAAGTCCACGTGCACCACTCTGAAGGGGGCGGGGCTCCGCTGATCACATGTAGGAAGCATGCTGTTTGTAATTGCTGCGCAACAAGCGGGCCATGACTGTCGGTTGCCAGAGTGACGTTTGATACCAGTTGTACGGGGTAGGCCTACTGTAACTCAGTCTATCCAAACTGTTATCAATCTTTACTTTTATCAGAGCAGAGACACTCAAATAAAATCATATATCAGACTATGGAATGCACCTTTCACAGGACGACATCATAATAATGATGATGATGATTAAGCATACAGTAGCTATTGTTTGAGTTCTCAGAAGTAGTGTTGTGGTGAGGAGCAGCTTACAGACTGCTGTGTGCTGCAGCCAGGAATGGCATGCACACTGAATGATTTAGCAGTAAATGTCTCCGCAGCTTTTCACTGTGAACTTGCAAACACAGACACTGTTGAGTATTGTGAATTGAACAGTGGCCACATTTAGCTCGGAGCAATTTACAGATTGTGATAAAAGAAGACATAATAGCCACAGGAGCTGCAGTTTTCATGATACTTATCATGGGCTATGTTATTTTCAGATGTATAGTTTAATTATATGGTTTGGATCACAAGATACATGCACGTCATAATGGTGTATTTGGCAGATTTTCAGTTTCAAATGCAGCAGCGACCTACATGTATTATTACAATTATTTTCCCACATAAATGAAGTATTAAATAGATAGTAAACTGCTGATCAAGTTAAACACTAATAAAAACATGAAATTCATATGCAAAACTGCGCAGGGTCGATCAGCATGGATTACTTTCAGGCCTACATCTATTCTTCGGCTATTGACAACCTCTCCCTTTCCAGTGTGCATGACTGGAGCTCTCTCTAGCGCTGCCAGTGGACAATCAGACCTACACACCCACCTCCAGACACACTCGCATTTCTCATTTCTTACTTCTAGTCTAAATTAGATAGCAAGACGTAGTGCCGGAGCTCACAGTTCGCACCGAATTAGTTTGAAGTACTAGCGGTAGTTAAACAGCAAATCTGAAATTCAACATGGAGTCCCCTCCAGATCCAGCAAGCGACCCGGGCAACAGCGCCTCGGAGCCGGCTACCCCGGTCAGGGAAACCCCGGTAAACCTGGAGACGCTCCGAAAAGCGAACCATCCAGCCCCGGTTCGGAGGCAGACCTGCTCCAGCACCAACAAAGGTAAGCGGACCGTGCTTCGCTTTTAAATGCGTGGGAACGAAAGACCGATCGCGGATTTTCAGAATTAAACTTCAAAATGAATTAATCGCTTCCCCATAAATAACTGCACACTGTCTAAACCCTCCAAACCACAGGGACACGGCTCTTTATTTATTACCACCGCGGCTTTTACCCGTTCGCCTGTAATTAGTGCCTCGGTGTGTTGCTGCTTTTCAGGCTCCACTGACAGCTCGAATCATAGGGGGGTGATACGGTCACAGATGTCACATTTACTCTCACTGCAAGATAAATCAATTACCCAGCAACTTAAAATGACCTACTGGAGCTTCTCTTCGTGTCAAAAAGGGCCAAACTGTCCCCTCAAAAGAGATTTTGTCAAAGTGTCAAAAGTGAACTTTTGGAAACTGTGGGCTAGTTTATCGATCAATCTCCTTTTTGTAAGGACGTGTCTTCCTCTATGCCTGATCCAGCACACCGTGCTGTCTGGCAGGGTGTTCACATCTCCAGCTAACAGATTTTTAGCTGTTCCTGTGCAGAAAGACGCCCAGCAGCTGGAAATTGTTTAGCGCCTGCTCTCACACACTATTGCAAGCATGGAGTCGCTGCACGCCTTTTTGCGAATATACCTCCGCACGATCACACAATTAAAACCAAACGGGCTATATATGCCTGTTTAAAAGTGTGTCTGTATTGCTGCTGAGGTGTAGTTCATTTTTTACATGATTTATCCACCACGTCCCGTCCATGTTGTACAGTACAGACATTATTTAACCACACCCCCTCTCGGCTGTCTCACAGGCTAACCGGGCTCATCCAAGTTCAGAGAAATTATCTTTTTCTCTGCTCGTTGTTCACTATCACAGTCGGTGTAGATGGCAGTGAGGCAAGCGATATACATGTGACAATTAGTTTATTACTCGGTGCTTTTTGTGTGCGCACTCGTCCTGTGCGCGCGCGAGGGTATATTTAGAGTGTGATATAGTGAATGTGGAATGTAAGCTGGTTATGTAACAGGTTTAGCCATAAACACAGGCGCGCAACTGAAAGCACAAATCATCACCGCAGATCTCCTCACTTTATACAAGAGTTCCCCCATTCCCCATGAAAACCCCGGCTGTTAAATTAAAATAAATCTGTGCACTTCAGCGGATATGTGCTCACCGGTGAAGGGAAACTGTGTGACTTTGTGGGCTGGCACTGCCGGAGCTCTTATGTAATAGCGGGGCAAAGACAGGTAGTTGGGAGGCTTCGTGGATTGATTTCTTTTTTCTCAAGTCTGACTTTCAGACACTCCTAACCTGCTGACCCATATTCACCCCACCCTTTATGCACAGGATTAAAGTGTGTCTGGGATAGAGAAAGACAGGAAAAAGAACGCCTTCGGTCTGTTATATAATGCTGAATGGGTTGAAAAAAACTAAAAAAACACATGTTCAGTTGGACAACCTCTGCAGCTCAAAAGGAGTTTCCCTGCACCAAAGCGTAGCGTTGACCTTTGTTCAAATAATTAAAACGATTGCATGAAAACATCAACTCTAGACGGCTTGAAGAAAAGTTTTGTGAACTTTAAAATAAAGTCGCCATTTATCTGAAAAGGGTTTAGAATATATTTCTAAATTAATGAATTATGTTATGTTTAATTGTGTGGTTTACATCTCAATGTATGAAGCCTATTGCTCAGTGTATTCCGTCATCAAATTTCAAAAGGCAATTCATTTTTTATCTTATCTGTTGCTTTGATGTTCAGTTACTTATACAATCTGTTGTGGTCGACTCTTACAAATGTTTACAAGGTATTATTATAACACTGCAAGAGTTGGTTTATATTTGCCTTAAAAACATTTAACTGGGTTTACAAAGCAGATTATTTATAAATGTGATCATGTAGAAACATTTAGAACATTCACCACTCAGGAGAGCAGAAGAAACGTTTTCTTTCATAAAGAAATGATGGCTTAATGGTTTTATTAAATAAAGCATTGATGCAAAAGTACATGTTTTCTAATAAGAAGACTGCAGTTGGTTTATTAAGTCGGCACAGTTCAGTGCAGGATAAATAAAACAATAAAAAAACGTTTATTGCTCACAGTACTGTTATAGTCTTGTAAGACATTCTTTTAGGATTATAGCTCTCTGCTCTGGCATTTCTGGCCAGCCACAGAAACCAACATCTGAAAGGCGGCAGACACTTGCTCAAGCACGGTTTCCCTCTTTACACCAGCTGTATTAGACTTTCTGAGGATGCACATTTCTTATCCTGCATGCAGAGCATTTACTGTTTTAACCCTGAGTGCTAATACCTTTTAGAAAGGGCTTACTTCAGCAGAAGCTCTGCAGAAAGACTTGAGAGGGTCAGAGAACAGGCCTTGGAGGGCTATGGATATCATTACTGGAAAGAAGAAAGGGTGTTATTTTTAATATCGAAAGATCCCTCGTTTTCGCAAATTTGGAAACAATCAATATTAATGGCTTGCTTATGTAAGGTCATGGTCTCTGCATAGGCCTGAAACCTCACCATCACACAGGGAAGCTGAACACTGAAGCTGCGGATGTGATAAGAGCTCCGGTGGCTGAGGTCCTCTGGTAACATGACTTTGAGCATCAAAAGTGTGTGGTACACGTGCGTGTTGTAGTAGTGTAGTGCTCTGAAATACACAAGACAAAAAAGACTACAAAACATTATGTTGCATAGCACATTGTGTGAGTTGTCATTAAGTGAAGTGTACGCAGTGTTACAGTCTGTCCTGTATATTTATTATAAGCCTCGCTGACATATCTTAATGGAATTGCTTTTGATATTTTTATACTACCCACCAGTTGCAACCTTTTATGTCACGACTCCTGTAGATCGTCTAGTTTCTGCGATCCCCTTTTTTGAATAAAAAAAATTAGCTGTTTTTAAGTGTTTCATGTGAAGAAGCAACTCTTACCTGACACTGCAGTTTAAGAAGCTAATCCAGACTGAAAAGGCAAAGTAAAAAGAGTCTCTCCTAACGAACACGCACCCATACTTTCATCAAGCAGTTTTATTTTTGGGCAGTGAAATTAGAGCTCTTGGCTAGAGTGGCAGCATTTATTCAGTTGTTGTTGACACAACACGGATGAGGTGCAGGGACGCATTAAAATCTCCAAAAAGCTGGGAGCTGCATGAGGCTTGCACGCCACTCGAGTGGACAGCAACTTTATTGAGGCGCAGGCATTCTCGCATTCAATGAATTGGGGCTCTCTGCCCGCTGGAGAGAAGGAAGATCCTGGTACAGGCTTTCAGCTGAGCCTCAGCGTGGACGGGTCAGCGAGATAAACTCTATAAGGGGCTCTTTTTTTCTGGCTGGCTGCTTGTAACATATCAAGTATCAGTCCTCCTGCATTTTCAATTCTCAAAGTTGGTGAGGTGATCATATCATAATCTATTCTATTGGTACCTGTTAGACAGTTGTTAAATGTTAATAATCTATTTGAAGGCCAAGCGCAGTATTTGATCTATTCCTTAGAACAACATTACAAAACATTTTAACTGAAAAGATAAACAGTATTTATTTGACTGTGCACTATACAAAGTTGGGACATCTGCTCTAAATTTAGACTTTGGCACCACTACATTTTAGGAAAAAAAAGGTATTTTGTTTTTATGAGCTTCAAAGGTCAAATTACATTTGAGCGGCAGTGTGCTTATCTAAGGAGGATGTAACCGTGAATGTCAACATAACATCAGGACTAGTAGTAAAATGAGCAGTGATTGAGATTTGTATCATGTCAGGTGCAAGGCTCTTTCTTTCTTGCTTTTGGTTTAAATAACAAGTAAAAAAATGAATAAAATAATGTAAATAGTTTTTTTTCAAATTGTCTTACTAATTGTTAAACTGCTGATAATTGCTCAATATTTTTTAGGTTTCAATGACACGAAAAATCCCCTTTCTCATTTTCTTTTCTCATTTTTTCTCGATGGAAAGTTTGCTTTCAGTCATGCATTTTCAGATAACTTTCTATCATTAAAATATAATATTTTCTTGTTACTGTGTGTGTGAACATTCTAACTTTGTCCAATAAAATGTGATCTTTGATTTGAAAGTGTACCTTTTGTAATAACTAATACAGTTCAGAGGGTGTCTCCTTACATAAACAGAACAATTCTTTATCCTTAAGTGTGTCAGATTTACCTTTAAACGTATTCAATTCAAATATTTAAACAAAGCACCTCCTGATTATCCAACTTTGAACACAATTATACCCAGCCCTTGCAAAAATGGGACCTCTTCATACAAAATATTTTTGGTGCTTTATAAGTTTGGAGTTTATTTTTTTGATAGCATTTCTTTTAATACAATTTGAGCATTTCATCTTCCGTACCTATTATAGGAAGGGATTCAAAGTAATTAAATAACCCTTAAAGATGTAGAGATGTAGAGGGGGACATTGTCTGTATTCGATATGAAGGAAGCTCCATGAAAGGACTCTTGAATTGTATTAGAGGAAACTGTTTTGTAGTCCTGTTGTCCTACCAGCGATTGACGGAACATTGCTCTGTAGCAGGATCACAAGTTTAACACTTGACCCTTAGGTTATCCTGATAAGCCTAAACATCTGGGCCAATAGCTTCATAGTTCTCTTTATCTCCATATCTAAATCTATCAGTATGCATTTATTTATATACATTTAATCTTCTGTATTTATCTAATAGGATGCAGGAAACTGGGTTTACCAAGGATCAATGTTCAAGTTATTTGAATCCAAGTCCATGTGCTTTCAATCAGCTTAATGTGCAGTGGTTGTAAAACACTACAGTGCATAGCATGACTGTTAAGTTGTAGCTGCATTTTTGGTAACCTATAAGATATATTTGAGATGTACCGGGTGCATACTGTATGCAAGGCAATGCAAGCCCAAATAGGCTATATTAATTTAAAAAAAGTTAAGGCATGTCAAACTTACCCTAGACCAAATTTGAAAGTTTTATTCATGGGGGACAGTTTATTTTGGAGTTTGATTCACCAGTGGCCTAA